GGGTGTTAACACACATTGTCCTCCTTCCCACATACACTCACACATACAATGGGACAGGCCTAAAAATATACAATACCGTTCAAAAGTTTGGGGTCAGTACTTTTTTTTTTAAGAAATACATACTTTTATTCAGCAAGGAAAAAGGTAACAGTGCAAGGCTTTACAAATAATTTTACTGCTTCACTGGTCCATTAAATGCAGCCTTGGTGAGCATAAGAGACTTTTTTTTAACTTTTAAAAATCTTACCAACCCCAAACTTTTAAAAAGTAGTGTAATGGTGCTTGGGTCACACTGCTTTGGGTCACAATCAGCCCCATCAAATGATATCTGTTTTCATTTTCTGCTGGGTTAGTGGAAAATGAAGCTCTGCTTGAAGTGAACGCTGAACATCCTCTTCTCCTACTGGCTGCTTGCCATGTCACTCATCCAACAGGAAACCAATAAAACCAGGCTGTCCTCTGAGACAGGAAATGTGATGTTAAAAGATAACTAGCTTACATAGGAAACACATCTTTGAATTGAAAGACAGTGGGGCATTACAGTACATCAAACGGTTCATCAAGCTGTGAATGAAGAGCTTGTCTGATAAACTGCGAGGAACCAAAGTTGAACTGCTGTAATCTGTCAACATAATTGAGTTTAACAGACACGCTGTCTAATATGCAGATTGCATACACACATACCCAAACTAAATACAACTGCGCACACACTGACAGATTACAAGTTCACATAGAACACATTTACATAGTGTTGAACTTACTTGAACAGGACCATCATCATCTACCATGGAGTCATCCTACAAAATAGGAAAATATTATGTTATTAACACAAACCATAGCAAAAAAACTTGTTACATCATGTTACTATTATAAGGCCAGGACTGAAAATACAACAATTGTTGTATGTCAACAATTAAAGAAAAACAAAGCACCTTAAGGATCTTAATCTTAAATGACTGCTGTAAATCTTTTGTTATTGTCATTTGTAAATATTATGGAGCCACAAAGGATTATGATGAGTATATGCTAGAGCTGCATGAATCATTGTAAAAAACAGCGATTTTAATTCAAACACCCATGCGACATTATTCCAAAATTATCGATTTGGCTATGTCTATTAAGCCTAAAATGTGCGTTGGTGCTGCCGCCGACCCACATTGTTACACCAGTAGGTGGCGACACATGAATTATAATTTTTTTCTATGTCATTGAATCATTCCTTCAAGAGATTAATTTAAGTATTCATCCAGTATTTAAACAAGTGAAGTCCTGTCCCAAACGAGCCTAAACACTCAGGAGCACCCTTCTGAAAACTAAAATGACAAAAGGGACACCCTACATTCTCGTGGACTTCACGAGCACACAGCAGCACCGGTTTTAAGTCCACAAGACCGTAATATGAAGTGTACCATGTGGGACAGGGCCTTCATAACTGAGTCATTGAATCACTAATCTAAATAAATGTTATTAATAATAATAATAATAATGATTAACTTCAGCAACTAACATTTTGTCAGAACCTTTAATAAACTAGGCCTACATGTTATTTTATTTAGTGTTTTATTCTAAATTGCAGGAGAATGGTGAACTCTATTTAAAGAAATATCAAATCACCAGACCCTGTGTTGATAAGAGTAAAATGGCAGTGCGGAAGATTGTTGTTTACACTCACAGACTTAGTGATTATTTATAGGTTCACACACTCAAAAAGGCACTAAAAACAAGCAGCATAGGAAAGCTATTTTCAGGCCATGGGATTAGCCTGGATCAAAAGGAAGTGAATAGGGAAAGAGCGCGAGAGGATAAGGGGCTAACAGAGTATGAGAGAAAATACTTGTTACTATTCATTAACTCAGAAGACGTATCTTATGTTCATTGCTCACCAAGGCTGAATTTATTTGATCAAATATATTATGAAATATTATTAAAATGTTAAAATAATATTTTCAATTTTAATACATTTAATAAAAAAATGTCTGTAATGGCAAAGCAGAATTTTCTCCAGCGTCATTACTCCAGTCGTCAGAGTCACATGATCGTTCAGAAATCATTCTAATAAGCTGATTTTGTTCATAAGAAACATTTCTTATAATCAGTTGAAAACAGTTGTGCTGATTGATATTTTTTAAGAAACCATACCATAATAGATTTTTTTTTACAGGATTCTTTGATAAATGGTCGCACGCCTCTGGAGCAACTAGGGGATGAGTGTCTTGCTCAGGGACACATTGGTGTCTCACAGTAGATTCGAACTCGGGTCTCTCACACCAAAGGCATGTGTCTCATCCACTGTGTAATCACCACCCCATGATTTTAGGGATTAATAGTTTTTAATAGTTAAATCACTATTATTTAGATTAATAGGGATTTAAAAAAGAGGAGTGGGTGGATTTTTACCATTATAGGGTACATGTACTGCCGCACACACATTTATGTTCAAAGCTTCAAACACCATGTAAAAAAGAAATTTTACATAATAGGTCCCCTTTAAAGAAATGATCCCAGGTCCAGAATACAAAAATTCCATTAGGTTGTTGTTTCATAATCCAAGTAACACACTAAATTATTCAAAAGCTAATGGGCCATTTACCTTCGAAACAGAATTCAGGGTATCGTAAACTTGTATTTTTTTTTTTCACATTTACAGCATGTTGACATTGTTATAGCCTATGGCCCCCAAAAATGTTGTCTAGGTATGTAGGCAGCTCACTGAGAAACAGCCTGTATATGAGAAGTTAGTTCCCCACCCTGAGTTTATTGCCCAATGCATACTCAAGTCAAACTTCAACCACTTACAAAAGGCAAACAAGTGTCCATTTTGAGTAAGAGTAAAGTAAGTAAACTTAACGTTACATTTAACAAACAGACAGACACACACACACACACACACACACACAAACAAACACAAACACTCATACTGTGCTTGTCTGGTCAAGTCTTGTTTCGACGGCTTAGACATTCTCTAGCTTTACCAAGTTACTAGGCACTTGGTCCAGTGACATTTCTACGTTAAGAGTTAAAGGACACACGTCATTTAGACTGAAACATTTTGTTGCATTTTAATGTCGACGTATAACTATTAAGCGCACACTTTTCTGCAATCAGTTATGCGTTTGAAAAGTAGCGACATTCTGAAACGCAAACTTTTTTCTTTTTTGACCAATCTGAAACGTTAAACGACTAACGTTAGTCCATGCACTTCAAGACTGAACACTGACATTCCCTTAACACGAAACATCGGATTAAACGTGATTTCATATAGCACTCCTCAATGTCGAAAACGTAATAACCTACCTCATTCTCCATATGCCCCACGGGAAGCTTCTGCCAGGGGTCTGCAAACTGTGCCAGTGGCATCTTTAAGTCCCGATCTTTAACTTACAATCACCCCGTGAAGTGATTTGACGCTGTCAGTCAGTGTAAAGTTGCACAAAAGAGTTCCACAAAAAGAACGGTCCCTTTCTGGCACGTAAATAAAAGAGGAATATCCGTTGAAATGCCTCCAAGGCAGTTTGTTTTCCTGCTAAAGTGTCCGGTTCCTCTTCACAAACATTCGAAATGTGTTTTAAGTGCAGAGTAATACACTTCCGTTTTCGCTCAACATGGCGTCGTCGCTCCGTTCACCTGTCTGTCAGAACGAGGCTGGAGGAGGAGGAGGAGGAGGATACGTCATCATGCGTCATAGAGCGAGGGGTACCGTGGCCACCCGCTGGTACCGACCCTGCACATTGGTATTACTCAGGTAAAGTTTTTTTCAGTCGAGGAATGAATGCTTAGTAATACTTAGTATATTTATCATATGCCTGTTCGAGCCTATTTATTGTTGATTCATCTTGACTGCTTTTCTGAACTAAATGTGAAAAAAATTCACAAATTCAGTGTGAATCACAGAGCATCGTTGTGATTTATTTTTGATGATCATGTAGTTAGAACATTATGTCTCCAAATCCTTTGATTATTAAATCTTTCGAAATCTCTTTTCCCTACGTAGAATCCACGTTTTCATTTATTCAGTCCCTAATGAGAAAAACACACATGACAATAAATTAAGTGCACAATCAAAAACACTGCCGAGGGAAGAGAATCACAACACCACAGCTGCCAAAACACTCATGCAGCTGTACCAGAGGATTTAGAATAAAGCTGATTCGAGGATTGTCGACTCTTTTTTTTTTCATGAGACCCAGTTTATTTGTGACCCATTTCTCCAAATAGTTATTTTTAGTGTGACGATCATCCATTGCACGGGATAAAATAAAAGAAGCTTTATCCTATAAATTGAAGTGCTCACCTCGTGTTCACATGCCACATTAAATTAAAATAATTAATAATTTTGTCATGGTCCTTTTGAGTACTAATGGCAGGTGAGGTAGACACAAATATCTCATACTCAAGATGGGGAAAAAATCACTTCAAAGCCTAAACTGAACTACTGTTTGTAAATTGATATGATGGAATATGGGAAAAAAAATGCAGATGAAATTTGTAGTGTATATCAATGTGATTTTTAAAACGGTACACCAGACTACTTCAGTAGTTTATCTATTCCAATATATCAAAAGTCTAAGTTTATGATCAATAGTTTTAATTTTAATTGTGGAAGACAAAACAATACACACAATAATGATTGATAGACAATTAGATTTTTCTTTAAAAAAAAAGATGTATACAATTTTAAACATATTTTTAGCAAAATGTCCCTAAATATATATATATTAAATATAAAGATTTTATGGTAAAAAGACAGTTTACCATGACCTAAGGGTGGACATTTTTAATTATACTAAAACGCTTTTTACTTACTAAAACATATAAACCATCATTCAGAAAGCAGGGAGATTTTGTCCCAACAGATTTATCAGCAATGTAGTTTGACCATGTTGATCATTTAGAAATGAATGTATCAAATATGATGCAGTGGGCTTTGTATAGGGTTAAGGCCTGTATCCACAACTGTTTCTGAGGTAGAACAACATTCAAGTCATCCAATCACACAAAAATGGTATTTGAAATATTTATTTGTAGTTTCATGGTATAAAAACCACATTGGATACATTGCCTGATGTTTTTGACTCCTCATCCTGGTCAACACGTCATAATTGTTTAACCTGTGTCCCTAATGCCCCCTTCAATTTCTCAACAGCATCCTATCATCTATTGAAATAATTATTACTTTCCCAATTCTGAGTGATTTTAAATTAACATAATATTAATACAACCATTAATAAACTGGAATCGCCAAATTTGAAGTTATACTCCATGTAACGCTGTTTGTAACAAAAGCTTTTTCTTATAATAAATATGTGACAACAAAAACCCTGTTTTAAATAGAAGTTAAGGAGAGTTAAAGCAAATGTAAGAACTTATTAACCTTTTCCCATTCTACTTTTTGTATTTAAACACTTTAAAGCCTATAAATGGAAGTGTTCAGGTATGACAGAAGAGAAAAAAAAATCCCATTTTACACCCCACAAATATTACACAAACATTTTTGTAGTATGGCCTTCTAACAGATTTACATTTTAACCATGTTAATACATTTTCCCTTAAAATATTTTGTCAAGTTAGGACTGCAAGACTTGCATTTCACTGACACCTCGTGTTTCTGATGCATGGACACTAGGTTAATGGTCTGTCATTGCGTGGGCACTGGGTATAGGCAATAGTTGCACTGAAACATTTGGAAAGTACCAATAATTACAAGGCAAATACCACCATGTTTATTCACAATACATGCTATTTCTGAGATGCTATGCGAGATTAAAAAATATAGCATTTTTTGTTTAGTACTGAAACCTTTTAAAATGTATAGTGAAGGTCAGTATTGTAACTGATGGACACAACAAGAAAACAAGTTCATGATGAAATGTAAAATGAGGCAACTTGTCTCAATGTGGCTGAGTTTCCCAACAACCGTCTATGAAACCTATAGCCATATTGGAGGTGACAATTTTTGCTGTGCGCTTCAAGAGAGGGTCAACTAGTAGGAAGTGGAGGGGACTTGGGATGATAAGGAAGGAGATTTAGCTGACGGACTTGAGTTTGGTCCAGGGGTTGGTGCCACGCACTTCCATAGGTGGGTCATTGAAGAAGATGTGGTTGCAAAGATCATCCAGTGGAGGCTCGGGGTCTGTGGTGGAAAATTGAGCGCCATCCTCAATCTCCTTCCTTACTTCAACATCAATCTCCTGCAAAAGATGTCAGTGTTTAGTGAAACTGCAGAAATGTCCATGCTTCACATTCTTAAGTATTACGGAGTAATCCCCATCTTATTTCACCAATGAGACTGAATCAGAAAATTCATACTCTAGTGCAACTGTGACCATCTCAATGATTGTATCGCACTTCAGCGTGTCAAGCATTCTCACCTTAAGCTCTTCCACACTGGCCATGTTGTTGCTCAGCATGCGATCCTTCAGCATTGAGATGGGGTCGCTCTTACTGCGCACCTCCTGGATCTCCTCACGTGTTCGGTAACTACGGAGACGGAGGGCAAAGTTGGCACATATTAGCACTAATAGAAAAAAGGCATTAGATACAGTTTACATTCATCCCTAATTCTCGTCATGTTTCACACAAAACTCTCGAGCAGATGCGAATGGCTAGTAATGCAGTGTTCCTTAGTAAGTGTTGCGTGACAACCACATTCTATAACTGAACTGTGACACCTGCACATTTTCAGGACTCACAACCACATTCTTGACAAACCCATGCTGAATGAACAGAACAAGTTGTCTGTCACATCATATAATGTGAGAGCCACACTGAACTGTATAATCATGATTCATGACAGATTATTTTACTCATGGAGACGGAGAAATGATTTGTGTTTATCTGCAGATTGGTTTGAGCTGCTTGGTGTGCGGCTCAAAAGTAACTCTCTCCACTCGCTTAACGAGCATTTAAAGTCCTTGTTGGTTGTTTAAAATATCTGATGCCTCAATTGGATTTGTCTATTTAATAACACACTGTCAATTGCAATAAAACTTCCCGATGTTATGGACATTGCTATTTTTGATACTGTCGCCGAATGCAGTTTTGACTTCAGCTGTTCATTCGTACAGACATGTATTCAAGCAGATACTTCATCTACAGAACGAACCGAACATTTCAAGACTCACACCTTGCTGTCAAACCCAAACAGTGACTATGAATGGAGCCATCTTGGACATTTTTATTACCGATAGATGCCTGTTGATTTTTGGCACTTTATTTTTATATGTTGGTTTTTTATTTATTTAGATTTTATGAGAAAATGTTGAAAGATTTATTGCTTAGTTGAATGAAAACGCAAGCGCACAGTATTAGTATACTGGATTCATATTTTATTTAATTTCTGTATCTGAAAATTACTGTTAGACCTACCAGATAAACCTGAAAAGTTTATTTTATTTGTGTCTTTGTTCTATTTTATTTATTTGTGCTATTGTGCATTTTATTTCTGAGTCTTTACTTGTCTTATAATGTTTAATATGTATATTAGTTGAGCTAGTAGATTTAGCTGTGGTATCAAAATTGGAATAGATAATTATGAATTTCCACTGGTATCTAAAAGTTTAGTGTCATAAGTGTTTTAGTGGTTTTTTACAAATAAAACAGTATCGCAGTTGTGTGTGCTCAGAGCAATAATAATGAGCTTTGGTTGAGATGATAGAAGATATTACCTGACTCCTGGGTCACTCATACTGTGTCCATGGTAACGATAGGTCTGCAGCTCCATCAGAATTGGACCCTACAATTATAAATTTCAGGCATTTTATTTTTTGCTACATAACTGCTAATATCCCATGAGAATGTTTATGTTTTCTGGTCCTGAAACAACCGTTTCATAACCAGTGGATCATTTATCATAAAGATGCCATTGTGGAATTATCCATATAATTATTGTGCTTTAAACAAATCATCAAAAATCATACTTCCTAACAGAGCTAATAATCTTTTTTCCCCATCCCTACGATTGCACATCACTCTAACCAGAGCTCACCTTTCCTGATCTGCAGTGTTCAGCAGCAAATTTGGTGGCCTCCCTCACACAAAGGACATCCATGCCATCCACCTATAAAGCCAGAGAACAGGTAAAGAGGTATTCTGACATGGAGAATAATTTCAGTAAAAGCATGAATGTGTCCTTCCTTCATCGTACCCTCAGACCAGGGATGAAATCGCCTCTCTTGTAGTAGTCAGTGCTAGCAGATGCTCTCTCCACAGAAGTACCCATGCCATATTTGTTATTCTCGCAAATGAAAATGCAGGGCAGCTTCCACAGTGATGCCATATTATACGTCTCAAAGATCTGACCCTGCAGAAAAATAAAAAAGTGTAACAGTGAATGTGAAACCTTCCTGTTAACCTTCAAGTTGTTCAGATCATTGTAAGGTAAGGCAAAGCAGTCCAAGGACAGCACAGAAGACAGATCGGTGTTGAAACGTTAGTTAGTAGCTAAATCAGTTGTTAGGACTTGGAGTGGGTAAACACATGATTGTTTGGACCTGCATGGAAGTGACTTACCTGATTTGCAGCACCATCACCATAGAGACAGACACACAGCTCATTATTGCCCTGGTATTTGCAGGCCAATGCTACACCTGCCCCAAGTGGCACCTGGGATACATATGTGTAAATATAAATCAGGGTTATTTTAGTTAACTAAAACTCTTTAATATTTGAATATTTCTAAAACTAAAATATTTTCATTAATTGAAATAAAATAAACTTTAACTGAAAAAATAAATAAACAAGTTGCCATGGTATCAGTTCTCATTTTAATTTAGTTTAACTTGATGTACTAAAATAACTGTAACTGAAACAACAATATATATATATATATATAATATTTAAGAAACTTAAGAAAATATAAATAAAATATTATTAATAACTATAATAGTATCTAAAAAATGTTAATGCCATGCTAGCTATGCTCATGGCGATACCCAGGTTTAGTTATTTAAAAACATTTTTTTTGCTAAAAACAGAATAACAAGTTTCTCAAAGGGTTAGAAGAAGTATTGCAATCCAATAAAATATGTTTAACGGCCAGTGGATTCTCTCAATGATACTAAAATAAAATGGATAGCAATGCTGATTTAGTAAACTCTTCACAATAGCATTTTTAAATTGATTGATTGATTGATTTCAAATACCTGAGCTCCCACAATTCCATTTCCTCCATAAAAATGTTTAGTGTACATGTGCATAGACCCTCCCTTTCCTTTGGCAATACCTCCTCGACGACCTGATGGAGAAACAGGAACATGGAATAAATAAATAAATAGATATATAAACAAATAAATATAGAACTAAAGAAAACAAACAAAAAATACTAATTAAAAGACAAATTATGAACAAAATCATTTAGACGCCGCTGAAATATTAAACTACATTACTCCATTTTGTTGTTCTCACCAGTGAGCTCAGCCATGATCTCACGAACGGTGCCGCCTCTAGTGAGAGTGTACCCATGGGCACGGTAGGCTGTGATGAGATGATCTGTTAGATTAATACCTCCCTCAATACCCACTGCACACGCTTCCTGTTAGAGGACACATTGCAGTTGTAAGCGTTTCAGTCTTTGTTTGTCAAGATTGAACCAATTACAAATTACTTTTCCAACCAAGTAAATAAAAACAGAATATTTATCTTGATCATATTGAACTAGTCTTCTTCTAGCAAAGATGATGTCTGTGTGTTTGCCATGTATGCATCACCTGTCCATCATAAAGGTGACAGAAGCCTCTGATAATCTTCTGCTTGTAGAGCTGATCGGCTTTGAGCTCCATGCGTCTAATTGTCTGCATTGTGCGGTAGTACTGAAGCCCCTCCTCTCTTGTAAGTGTGGCCTGCAGTGGTGGGCCCTCCTCCAGCTTGTGCAAGTCACATTTCTACCAAAACAAGAGTATTTTCAAGCTTTCAAATGATTTATGGTATAGTAAAGTTTAGGACAGGTCATTACTCCAGTCTTCAGTGACACATAATTCTTCAGAATTCTAATATGCTGATTTGGTGCTCAATTCTTATAATCATTATCAATGTTGAAAACGTTTGTACGGCTTGATGTTTGAAGACCAGCAAACTGACAAACTGCAACAATTTATGCTTGCAAAACTGCAATAATTAGTATCCTCTATTCCAAACATTAAATAAGCGTAATTAAAAGGAAAGGCGAAGTAACACAATGGAAAACATGCCTCTGTCCCAACTTATTTGGAGTGTGTTACAGCCATTAAAATCAAAATTTGTTTACAAAATACAATTAAATTGGTCAGAGAAAACATTAGAAATCTCTTCTTTTGTGTGAGTTAAATAAAGGTTAAACAGAATTAAGATTTAAGAGATCAATGTTTTTATTCCATTTTGGAAATTGGGTTATAACATGCGTTATAATAATTATTGGGTTATAATAATACCGACCCCAACTTTTGTTAAAATAGTGTATATGCACTAAAATATGTAAATATCTGATAAAACTCACCTTAATATCAAAGGTGGCCTGAGGGGTAAAGTCAGCATAGGTCCTAGCAGATACCACTCTTGCCCCCTATGAAACAAAAAAACATAAAAAATAATAGAAAATCCATTAATATATGACCTCTACTGAGAAAAAGAGAAGATGGTAACAAAAAAGCAGTCCATTGGAAACACACAAACACACACACACGTCTGACAGGAACTGAAATGTTAACAACCCTGGTCAAAAGCACTCTGTCTGAAGCAGGAAGCAAACCCAGACATAATGAAATATATCCGTAATAAACCAACCTTAATCACCACAGTGTGATTTTACGCAACAACCATATCAACAGACCTGCAATCTAATACCAAAAAATCACCAATCAACTCATAGGCCTGGATGCATTGTATCATCTGCACTACGTTGCTTTGTCATCTGCACTACGTTGCACTACATATCTTTGATTACAGGTTTGGATGTAATAAACTGACACATCAAGAGGAATTCATCCACAATTAGATGCGGGACCAACATGCGGAACACAAGTGTTATTATAGTATCATTGCGATAACCCTGCTGTGGACAAAACAAATAATAATAATAAAAAAAAATCTATTCAGTGATCGAAGAGACATCGGCCAAAGTGCTGGAAGAAACCTCTGAAGTATGTGAGTGCTCTGGGTAAAGGGAAGGGGCATGCAACACTCCATTAGGAGGGTTAAGCTGTGTATAGGCTATATGAAAGAGACAATATATACATTTTAATATAGGGACTGCCTGTACTCACAGCAAGCTGTGGCTCTGGTAAGGCAGTCTCTTCAGCCAGGCTGTGGGTGATCTCTGGGAAGGAATTATCAGGGCCCTGGAGGCTCCCGGGTGGTGGGGGACAATTGGACGTGAGGGGGTCTGTGCTGGTTACGTCGGAGCTGCTGTTAGCTACTGCAGGGGTTAACTGTGCTTCATGGGGGACTTGGTTAATAGGCCAATTAGCTGTAATTAGGGCAGGTGATGGAGGAACATCTTTAATTGGAATAAAAGTTTTTTCTAATTCTGATGTTCTTACTGTAACAGAAGGACCCAAACTTAATTCTTCTAAGGCAGATAAACCACTGGCCATCAGCGGTTCTACATAACATTCTTTCTGAGCTATAGCACCTGTGGGAACGACATCAGTCAGAAGTCTATCACGTGACCCTGAGTCTCCTGACTGGCCACTGGTGGTGTGTCCTAAAGCTTTGTATTCTACAGAAGTGTTTAGAGGTTTCTGTGTTAATGGTTGAGAAACTAAAGGGCTGCAGGGTTGTGGATCTTTTAAGAGTGAACGGGGGTCGGGATCATGGTCATGTGGAAAGGTCAAATTAGCATATTCGCCCTGGACCGCCAGGAGCTGCAGAACGGCCCGGAGAGTGGAGGACTGTAAAAAGAAGGGCGCACGTCACTCAAGAGGGTCAGACTTAGATGGCCTCAAAAAAGGAACGCTCAAAGACCAAGGAGCAAGAAGAGATGTCAAGTGTCTAGAGACCACAAAAAGGACTTTACTTACTAAACCAATAAAACTCTAATCTAAGCTAACCTACGCTATACCTACTCACAGGAAATAAACAACTGTTGATGGCTACTGGTCAGATCACATTCAACAAAGGCCAATGTTGATATTGTCAATATGTAGAAAACATGATAAAAAAATCAATATAGTGCTGACTGCTGATACCTACATTTACAATTGTATTCTCAAAAATTAGATGGATATGAATTGAACATTATTCAGACTTTACTAAAATTGTATCCATTGACAAAGCTACACTACTTCAACTGTTGAAACTGACAGGTTATTTGGTCACATGGACAAAAACCAGAAAGCTACAACATATCTCAAACAGGTTTCAATTAATGTCTCCTCTGTTATATATATAAACTAAAACCAGGTAAGGAAAAATGGGTACTTTCCATATCATTGGAGTGCTTTTAATATGCGTGTGTGTGTGTGTGTGTGTGAGAGAGAGAGAGAGAGATGTAAAGGTAAGATGTGAGCTGTAAGTAACTAGCTTGGGTAAATGGAGCAGAATTATTCCCCTCAAGCTCACAGCATGGCAAACTAAAACAGTCACAATATATGAGCAATAAAAAGCATGTGGCAAAAACGTGTTTAATATGCCAGAACCAAACAAGTGATTGGAAACTCAATGAGGAAGAGAAGGTTATCTTAAAGTCATAACAAGTGAGGAAGAAAAGATCATCTAAAAAAATAATAAGCCGTAATGGAATAAGTTCAGGCAAAATAAATAAATAAATAAATAAATAATGATCATGTTTACAACCACCAAAAAAGCGCAGATGGACGTTGTGATTAAGCCCATTCCTAAAACTACCATCTCTTACCTCTGATACCAGTTCGGCTCCCTTTAAAGGCAGCCCACGGAACAGTAAGGAGGAGATATTGAGAGAAAGAGGAGGAGAGTGAGTTAAAGAGAGAGAGAGAATTAGAATAGAGAAAGATGTTGATGGAGAGAGAAAGAGACAGAAGATGAGGTATATTATTATACGGAAAAGATGCCTGACTTGTTCTGCAAAATTCCATAAATTTTATTGTGCCAACAAAACAATTACATTACATACTTTAATTGTGTCAACAAATCGTTTATTTTTAGACTTAAGGTCACAGTTAGATGAATGGACTCTGTCTGACTCTGAGCTTTCAACCATCCAAGGCGAAAAATTAATCAGGGCAAAAAAGAAAAACCAATGACCCAGCTCGTGAATTCCTCTGATGTTTTATTACATGTTTAGGATAATGTAGTTAATTAAAATTAAGATCAATTACAATACTATTTAAGTAAGGTAATTGACATTCTGTATTTAATATGTTTAGGAAAAATATGCCCTCATATACACCAGAATCTTTATATTCTAATCTTTATCTTGATTTATATATTTTTATGTATAATAAGCTGACACTCTGGCCTTACCTAAACTACAAGGACTGAGTGACATTAATGTCGTTTAGGTTAGGCCAGACAGAGTGTCAAAACTTATTATACATAAAAATATAATGACTTTAAGATTCTCAGAAATGGCCTTACTCTTAAATTCTGGTGTATATATGAGGGCATATTTTTCTAACCATACTAAAATACAGTGTATATTACATGATTTTTTTTTCCACCTTTCCACTAAATGTTGCATAAAACAGGACATATTCCATCTGGTCTTCTGCCACTGGTCAATGAAAATGATGAAAGACTGTCTCCCTGAGGTCACCTTTTACAACTGAAAAAAATATATAGCAATTGACTGCGACTTACCCATTTTTATGAACATCATATTAACATTTCAAATCTCATTTGTTAAAACTTACGTCTTTTATAATAATTTATTAGAATGACAGCTTGGTGACTAACGTTAAACCCGTTTACCAACCATAACCATTCCTGTGCAGCTAGCCAGCTAGCCAAGTTAGCCAAAAGAATTGTGATATCTGACTATATTCAAATCTATAATAAAAAGAAATGCTACACTGGTTTACGTTAAATAAATAGCACCAACATACGCATTAAACAGCAATGTGTCTCTAGTAGGGTGTCAGCCAGGCCTTGTGTACCTTGCAAGGTCAACATGGTACGACTGCGCTTCGTTAGCCGTCAAAACAGCCGTGAATTTGCCTTTACTAGTTAATCATATGGGAAATGATTCAAAGGGATAAAATACTTACGTTCCTGCTGGCGCTGCCCCTCAGAACGTTAGAAATAATGGTTAGCATCTTTCGCATAATATTAACTCACAGCTAACCAGAAAATGATCTCCTTCAGTCCTCCTCTCAACAGAAACCAAACCAGCCCGACCAGCGAACGAAGTTTACACCCGCCGCAGATTCGCTGCACATTTGGTTGGAAATGCTGTCCCCTGCTGGCCAGAGCACACATTCCTGGACAAGAAAGAAAGAAAGAAAGAAAGAAAGAAAGAAAGAAAGAAAGAAAGAAAGAAAGAAAGAAAGAAAGAAAGAAAGAAAGAAAGAAAGAAAGAAAGAAAGAAAGAAAGAAAGAAAGAAAGAAAGAAAGAAAGAAAGAAAGAAAGAAAGAAAGAAAGAAAGAAAGAAAGAAAGAAAGAAAGAAAGAAAGAAAGAAAGAAAGAAAGAAAGAAAGAAAGAAAGAAAGAAGCCTGTTTTTTAAACCAAGACAAAAAATACAAAAAATAATGGATTATTGTAGTGTGTGTGTGGTTTAGGTATTCTTTGTCCCAAAAGGATGACAATATCAGAAATCTTTGAATATAACAGCTTAAATCATTCTAAATTATGTTTTTTAAAACATGTAAAATGCAGAAAGTTTTCTGTGATGGGTAATTTTAAATGTTAGAGGATTGCAAACTTCCCATAAAGCGTGGAAACCTAACATGTGTGTTTATATTGAGTATATGTATTAAAAATATGCATCTTCGAAAGGAAAAGAATGGAGATCCATGAATAAGTGTGGAGATCCATGAATAAGACGTTTCTGCCATGTCATCATAACTATTCCATAAATTCCAAAACAAACGGCATCTTAAAAATAAAAAAAACTTCCTGTTTTTATTATTTATTGTTTAATTATCTCACCCTACTGACCTTATATAATGTCAGATTAAAGTTTTATTAACAATATATTTGTGAATATATTTGTGAGTACATGGTTCCACAGTTTATGAGTCTCCCCCATCTCCAGAGCTCCTGTCCTGTCCTCACTCTTCCTCCCTTGACCCAGCTTGGGGACACGCATCTATGGGGGACACGTTTGTTGCTTTTCGGAAGTGACGAAACCAAAGCACTGATGGCGGCTCACAGTTTGCTCCCGGATATGTACTAAAACGAATTTGATGGCGTCTGATTGGACTTTTTGCACACTTGGCCATTTGTCTGAAATCTTGAGATTAACGTCGAACCTGTCAATCACAAGAGTCGTCGATCCGAGCGAGGAGGGATCATTTGCGGTAGAGCTCGCCAGATCCAGAGCTAGCTGCCTGGCCAATGAAATACAAGTCCAGCTAGCCTGTGGTCGCAGAGGTTTGTTTGTGTGCGTGGCAGACGTTTGATATTTTACTAGATTTGTGACACTTGCTGGTCCAAGTGCTGCCGAGTCTCTGCTTTCTCTAGGTCGGCTCGCGTCGCTTGCGTTGCTTTAAGTAGCGGCGAGAAGTGGTTAGCCGACCTGATTAGCCGTAGCCGTAGTTCCAGCTCTTCTAAAGTCATTGGTCTCTAGTGGATGGTGCCAGTCTCTTCTATGATTCTCCGTCGCGCCGTTCATCGACTGTCAGCATGTTGAAGACACGTCAGTGTTTACTCGGGATTCGCACCTTCCTTGGAGTGACGTCTAGAATATGGAGTTTCATTTTATACATCCTCAGGAAGCATCTACGAACGGTGAGCGTGTCAACATCTGTCTGTCGGTGCGAATGTATGTTTATCTCCTCTGTTTGTTTATCACCTGTCACCTGAAAATCATCTATTTTGCTTTATTTAAGAGCGCCTGTCTTCAAATAACATCCAACGATCAGCTACTTGTATTGCTGATATGTCTGAAACTTTGTAACACTTAGGCTATTTAGTTGACTAATATTGTTGTCGTGCACTAATTCCTAAGGGTAACAAGTCCTATAGTTTTACTCTAACAACACTTTATTGAAGATTCCTGCAATCGAGAACAGATTTTATGAGCTGTAAAATATATTGTATGGCCCTCCTCTCAGTGCAAACAAACATACACAATTCAGCTGGTCCATTGTAGCATCTGTACTAATAAAAACAAATGATGAGAAATATGAGTGCTTTAGCATTGTTATATGTTGCTTTTATTGTTGATTTGTGTTGAAGTAATTCGTGCTAATTGTATCAAAAATGTTTAATTAAACTTTTGTTCAGTAGGTTTCAGATTGTGCCTGCTTCGGTAACCTCAGTAACCCTGAGGGAGTGTGTTTATGAGGATGAATGCCCTAAATACATTGGACTATGGACCCCTCCTATGTTTACCCAAAACCCTTTTTTCTTTCTTTTTTTACTTTTATTTTTTTGTTGGCACTGTTGGGCAAGATGCCCCATAATAAAATAATTGTTAAACTTGTTTTGTTTTTTTCCTTAATGTAAAAATAATATATTCACTGCTTTTTTAAATGTTACTTTTTGCAAATGAAATATAAATAAAAATCAAATAAAGAAATAAAATAATAAAGAAATTTAAAAAAAAAATTAATTAAGCCCGATTACCCAGTCTATTGTGGTTTATGGCTCTTGCTACTGCCATTCTTATTGTCTTAAAGGGATAGTTCACCCAAAAATGAAAATGTTGTCATTATTTACTCACCCTCAAGTTGTTCCAAACCTGTATGAGTTTTCCATCTATTGAACACAAAAGGAGATATTTTAAAGAATTTTAGTAATCAGACAGTTGGCGGCACCCATTGACTTCCAAAGTAGGTAAAACAATACTATAAAAGTCCATGGCGACCGTCAACTGTCTGGTTACCAACATTTTTAAAAAATATCTTCTTTTGCGTTGAACAGAAGAAAGAAACTC